GGCAATATAGAAGTCTTTATATCTCTTGTGATATGTAGGCAACATAGAAGTCTTTATATCTCTTGTGATATCTGGATAATGTAGGCAATAAAGAAGTCTTTATATCTCTTGTGATATCTGGCTAATGTAGGCAATATAGAAGTCTTTATATCTCTTGTGTTATGCAGGCAACATATAAGTTCCATGTATACATAAATACGGTTGTGCAGGCTTAATTAGTTTGAGCGGAAAAGGGTATGGGATGAAGTTTCATGAAAAAAAAAGACACGTATCCAAAATAAAAAGGTCTTGTTACTTTGTCACGTCTGTTATGATTTAATAACATTAGTAGAACTAGAATGTGGTGCATTGTTTCAACTGTATAAATAGTGACTATAAACATGAGCATAAATTAGACAGTTAGTGAAGTTTAAAGATGTCTGTAATGTTTTTTGTTTATTTTTGTTCATATCAATAATAATTGCAACCGGAATTCATTTTGTCATCTTTCTCTCTTCGCAAACACAAACTCTGTCTCTCTCTCTCTCTTTACAAGCTTACACACTCTCTATGTCTCTCTTCACAAACACACACTCTCTCTCAGTCTCTCTTCATAAATACACTCTCTGTCTTTCTTTTCACAAACACACAATCTCTCTGTCTCTCTCTTCACAAACACACACACACACTCTCTCTCTTCACAAACAAACACGCTCTGTTTCTCCCTCTGTCTCTCTTCACAAACACACACTCCCTCAATGTCTCTCTCTCTGTCTGTCTCTCTCTCTCTCGAATCTGTCGTCATGCCTCTGTTTCTACATCCTTGACCACAGGAAATGTAAGCCTAGGCCAGGCCTACATCTACATCAAGAGCGCTGCAAGTTAGGTGTGAAACTACTTGTGTTGTAATGATTGCGTTTCAATTTTTGCAAAGAAAAAAAAAAGGAAATTGAGATAATAGAAGAATTTAAAATAATCAATAGAAATCTTGAATGATTGATAATACGGTGATCAGTTCTACGTTCATTCAAGTATTTTATATGTTTTCATAGTGCGTTTAAACACACAGATTTGAACAATCCATAATAAATCCATATAATATTTATTTGTGTTGCTTGCTATATAATGAGTCATTATCATATAAAAATAACTACGACTGGGACATCATTAATTCTTAAACATTGGCCTAATCCTTGATTGGGGATTGAGAAGAATATAATTTAAATATGACATATCTATAAACATATCTATATACATTGTTTCCATTGTTTTGGGGGAAACTATTTGAAAAACTATCCAACATCAAATTTAGTTGTCATGTATGAAGTGGTCTACAATGCTGACTCAGGATAGAGGCGCGAACACGTTCTTGCTTGCCGTATGAAGAGAAAAAGGTGGTATTGGTATGTAGATAAACAGATTCTCAATCAGAAATTACAGACTTTCCCTTTTAGAAAGAATTGACATGGTGGCATATTTAGTGGAAGATGAGCTGCCAAACATCATATCACATCTTATCTCAACATTTCATTATCACATCTTATCTCAACATTTCATTATCACATCTTATCTCAACATTTCATTATCACATCTTATCTCAACATTTCATTATCACATCTTATCTCAGCATTTCATTATCACATCTTATCTCAGCATTTCATTATCACATCTTATCTCAGCATTTCATTATCACATCTTATCTCAGCATTTCATTATCACATCTTATCTCAACATTTCACTATCACATCTTATCTCAACATTTCATTATCACATTTTATCTCAACATTCCATTATCATATATTATCTCAACATTTCATTATCACATCTTATCTCAACATTCCATAGAACCAAATAGGAAAGAGAATACATGGAAAGATTTATTACTATGTTGTTGTTTTTTAATCAATCAGTAAAAGAATATAAAAATGTAGGTGCTATATATATGCAGACTGACAGACAAAAAATAAACTATTTCCTAAATAGATGTCTTTTTAACTCAAACTAAAATATATAAACTTACAGTTAACCAACAGTTCTATAAAGTATGTTTCATTTAGCCATGGCGTAGAGTACATATCAAACACAACATTTTATTTACCTTGCACACAAATGTCTCTCAAAGAAACCGTGAGTCTGCAAATGAAGTTCAAGAAAGACAAAAAAATGTAGAGATCGACACACACATAAACACAATCTGCTGAAGTGGCTCTCGTTCACAATTTTAAAAAAAATTTATATATATATAAACTTGACTGCACAGTGGAAAAGCACAGCCCGCTCGATAGTGTTTAACTTCCGCGTTGCTATTCTGTACTGGAAAGTTAAACAAACTTGAGTGTCAGAAGTGGTTGATACTCTCTTAAAGAACAGGATCATATCTGTAACACTTTAAGATAGATAGATAGATAGATAGATAGATAGATAGATAGATAGATAGATAGATAGATAGATAGATAGATAGATAGATAGATAGATAGATAGATAGATAGATAGATAGATAGATAGGTAGGTAGGTAGGTAGGTAGGTAGGTAGACAGACAGACAGACAGACAGAGAGAGAGAGAAAGAGGAACGGGACCAAAATATAAGTGCGTGTGTGTATGTATATGAGCGGATCTTTTCAAATCAAGTCAAAAGTCTATGAAGGAGAAATTAAGAAGTGTTGGTTAAAACAAAATGAGGGTTTCAGTGAGCGGGCCGTGAAATGTCATTGTAGCAAATACACCAATTCACGGTCTAAAAAGTATGTTAGGTTGATCGTTAAAATGCGGACCGTTTATTGAAAAAAGGGGGGAGGTGTTCCTGTCAATAAACAATATAAAGAAAGCCTGGGATCTAGGCTAATTCGATGTGATCACACTACAGCATATAGATCTAGATCTGTGTCTTCCTGCTGACACCCTTCAGACGCTCTTTAATCTCAAAATTTGTTGGCATTACATAGTAACGTAGATCTAAATCAATTTGAATTTTGAAATACCCCAGTACGACGAATGACCACATAGATTTAAAATTTAAGCATGAAGGATAAAAAAAGACCAAAAAAAGCTTATCATTGCTTCTTCAATTAGCCAATGTTTGAGTCAATAATAGCGGCCCAGCCTAGTCTACTGTCATAGGCCACGTGGAGCTTACGTCCTTAGTATTACGTTCCGGACACTTGGTATTTATAGTGTTTATGTAGGTAGGATATGGATACAACAGGAGCAGATAAAGTTTGGTAATTAACGATGAAGGGAATTTGTTTTTTTCTCTGTGCAGTGTATGCATTGAGACCTATAATATAATATAGGCTACAGCAGTGGCGTAGCTAGGAATTTTCCTTCATTTTATGGCCCGAGGGGGGAGGCTTGACCTCTTTCGGGCCCCCTGCGTTTTGCGTAATATTGTAAAAACAATTTCGAACACTTATTTGGGGCACTCTTAAGTGGGGGCCCGGGGGGGATTTTCAAATCTTTTATCAGCCTATCTAGCAATAATAAGTAAGCGGTGATCGTAAATAAACTTATAGAAAGGTTGTTCAGACTTAAGACTTTACAATAATTTGTACAAAATAAGCAATCTTACTTTTTATTCTGTTATAAAACTCTATGTTTCAAACATGAGCTTATATTAAACACATAATAATGTGATTATTATTGATGTCTTTGTTTACTAATGATGGTGAGAAGTAGACCCTATTAATGAACTAAGGATCACAAAATGAATGTGAATTGCTTATCAGATATTTTTAAAAATAAATTTTATACAGTGTAACTTTCATGCTTATAGCATGCTCAGAGCTCTATGGTCCAATCTCTTTTGTGAAACAGTGAGGGTGGAGAAGTTTTTCCGTGCTGCCTTTTAGGCGCTCAGTTAACAACTTTGTTCGAGTCGGGTGACGAACATCAAGCTTCCTTGATGGGTAGACAAGCTCAAGCGTACTTAGCCTCTCGGCCACACATCCCACACTGAACATCATTCCAATGGTTAATAACTGCTAAGCATTATTTGGCTACAAAGCACAAAAATAGGCGAAAGAAAGAACAAAACGGAAGAGAGAATTAGACTAGACCAGCCTTGGCCGAAAAGGTCGCCAGAAGAAAAGAAGCTGGTTAGATAAAGAGCCTAACCTGATGTGGACAGCATCTGACAGGATTGAATAGAACATCTTGATGGTACACAGTCAGCCCACACTCATCCCGCTTTTTCACTGAAGTAAGTTGATGATTAGCCTTTGTGATTCTTTGGTCCCAAGAAAGCAGCCGATATAGATTTGTTATAATTATGTCTATTTTGAAAGACTACAAAATTTAGAAGTGTCGCAAAAATGGGTCAAGAACTCTTTCACTCCTTCATGAGAATTAAAGTAAAATAAAGATCTTAGAGTAGGGCCTACTCCAACTTTAATAGAATACTTCACTCTTCCAGGGATACAATAGACTGGATGCAAAGAAAAACAAAAGACGTTTGGGTCACGAGGCCTTCATGAGCTGTAAAATAGAAGACAAAACATCCTTCATTTTTACATTGGTCAAGCCCAGCTTTTTGTAGGCAATTCATGACTTATTGTTTTGTTTTGTTTTGTTTTTGTTATACAGTCGTTCATCCCTTTGAGTAAGGATAATGTTTGTATAGGCCTATACCAGAAACTAATATAGCGAGGTGGTGCCTTATAATTATTAATAATAAAAAGCATGAACAAACGGTCCTCTGAAAACAACATCTTAGTCTATATAGACCTAAGTTTTAGTAACAGAAATTCGTTATTTTTATAGTCACAAATGTTACATATGAGTACAGAGTCATAGCTGACGAAGAGGACACGGACTCACTTGCCATATTATAGACGTCCACAAAACATCCTGTATTGTTGAGAGGCCACTTGTAAACCTACCACAACAACCTTGGTTCACAGATCCGTTAAGCCACGAGAAACACTCTTTAATCAAATTATTTACTATATAAACTTAAAAGCTACCAAGCTATGGTAAATTTATGTATTATTAGAAAACTAACAACCTATATAACACCAATACTTGCCTAGATAAAAGAAACAACATTACAGTGCTTTCTTTGGCCTAAGGATATGACATTGTAGATGTAATGTGTTGTTTATTTTACAAGGTGGAGCGCTATAAAACCTCTAAAGTCTATCTTTAAAGAGAAACACGAGAAAGAAATTGAATATAGTGAGCTTGTTTGGATTAGATCAGACTTGGCTAATTCAGGTCATCTATTTTTAGCTGCCCGTTACATATCACCAAGTCAATTAAACTAAGCAGGAACATTACAAGAATTTCCAGCAGTTTACAGCAGAAGTTATTTAAAGAATAAAATTTAAAAATAAAAATAGAATAATTCTCAATACACTATGATCCGAATACTTGTGTTCATGTAAGGTAGATTTGGGCTTTGTGGATCTTCAATGCTATGTACTTTACAGAGGCATAGCTAGCAATGTGCGGGTGGTGCATATATACAGGGCCGCCGCTACCTATTGCGCAATAGATCGCAGGCGGCCGAATGTAGGGGGCGGCCAAATTGTTATTCCAAGGTTACCTTTCTTTATAAATTTTTAGTTTGATTAAAAAAAGATAACTCAAATATTTTCATTTTTTTAATAAATTATAATTATTCCATTATCCTTTAAAAACTATTTTTAAAAAAAACAAACGATATTCGTACTTAAGAAGCTATTTTGGAAACTTTTAATAAGAAAAAATGGAGCGTCGCGTGAGGGATTCCCACGGGTTTTTCCATATGCGCCTAATCATTTCTGACCTTGAATTTTCGCGGGTTGTTTGTAAAAGTATTCTTTTTGAATGACACTTACAGCAGCCGATCAGTCTACTTACTACATATAAATATTGTTGTTTAGTCGAATACCCCGCCCTGTAAGTAGATTTAGTAATTAAAAACTCAATGTTTAAAACATTTTCACTTTTATGTTAATGGCTGTTAGTTAAGCGTAAAATATTTTGGGGTCATTATCGATGTAGATTTACATTAAGTTTAGGTTACTAGCTGTTTTGGAGCAATAAGCCAACGACCGTCCAACAAAAAAGGGGGGCGAAAAAAAATGTTTTATTTTCTTTGTAGTTAGGCCTGAATATTACGTCTGAATATTACCAATGTTTTCAAATTAAAATATTTTAAGTAAGAGACCTCGCTTCATCTTCTAAGACCTTGTCAAATGTAGAACGTTTTCCCGAGAGGCGCATGCAAAAATATGGGTTAAAACGTTTGAAGAAAACATTTCAAAACGTCTAGTGTGATCCTTCTGGATTTTCTTTTCTGAGATTGGTTGAATTTCTTCTGTCTATGGCACTTCATTATAGTGACGATTTTTTTATGAAAAAAGGTCCATGACAGAGACGTCTTAAGTAGCACAAAGATGATCTTAAAAAAGATCACGCCCATTACAGACGCCCGTGTGCAAGAATGTCCCTGGAATAGTAGGCCTACTATTGACCAGGGCTATCTCTTTATTATAAGATGAATATTGCGTTTTAAAAGAAAACTCATTCATGTTGGCCTTTTTTATATTCTTTCTTCTTATTACGAGAAGAAGGCGTTGTAAACGCTAGGAGAAAGAATTTCTGAAGTTGAAAATGCTAGAATACGGTGAGCGCCATGACCCGGACACGAAATCATACCTTTTGCCGACTTGAGCGGAAATCTGCCAAATGTTCAATTCTATCTCCAGAAAGAACTTTTAATGCGCTTAAAAATTATGCAGGCAATACTTTTTCCAAAAACAAAAAAAAACAAAAAACAACGGACTCATTTTAGTAAAATTTCATTGTGTAATTTTGGATTCTAAGCACAGTGTTAAATAAATAAATGAAAAATATAAATATTGTGTTATAATTATGACTATAATAAGTTTCTTTTCTTTTTCATTACATTCTTAGAAAAACTCACGGAATTTACTGTGGTAGCCTACGTCGTTCGTCTAGGTCCCCAGCTTCTAAGAGGGTCTCAAACAAAAATTTTGTGATGAGGAAATTTTTGCCTTAACGTGTTTTATTTCAAACCATTGTTTAAGTGACTTGTAGTAGGATTATTTATTTTATATCAATTCAAGAAAAATATTCAGCGTTGAGTTCCTTCATTTTGTCCTAGAGGTGTGTTGGATACATTTGTAGGCACCTCTGAATCCGCAAATGTCAAGATGATTTTGGGCACAATGTATATCTCTCCAAAATACAATCGTGAAAATCATTATCAAAGTTTCACCTTTTATGGCTTTTGTGTTTCGAGTCAATTTATTTTGCATTTAATGGTCCATGTCGGTTGTTTTAGGAATAAATAAATAAAGACGACATTACAGGTACAAAAGGAGTAAATGATTTGGGTCAAATCAATTCTGAAAAGACACGAATATAAAGCAGAAAGAAAATTTAAACAAAATTGCTCTTGAAAAGAAAACAATAGATGCAGTGCATTAAAGAATGCATGATTTTGAAAAGCAGCCTTAGCAATCCTTGATAGTACGAATTATTATCGGCAATGTCTCGCTTTTAAAGGATCCACAAAAAGTTAATTTGACACACACAAAAAGATTATTTATATCAATTAATGCAGGCAGTGATGTTGACCTTTCATACACGCAGCATTGTGATAGCCTTGACCTCTGCAATCCATTATGTCTAAGGCATCCGAATGTAAAATCATTGCAGCGATTTAGCGGCATGCTTGTCCTTGGTGTCGATGAATTCAATGAAAGACTTACTAAATTGTACCCCGTCATCAGAGGTGGCCTTAGCAGTGCGCGGGACCTGGGCGAATGTCATATGCGGGGCCCTGCTCTGTAAGGGTAGACTAGATATATCGCTAACGGGATCGTCCACCTCTAACGCTGAAGCCCTTTTTTGTTACTAAACATACTATCTTAAGTAAGTACTGTGCTATTTGCTTTTAAACTACATAAACTGGAAATGTTCTCCACATTAACTTCTGGATCTGATAAGTCCACAAAATGCTTTGTAAAAGACATCTGCTCTTTGTGGCTAACATCAGTTGTGCAATCAAGGATGACCGGGAAAATATTCCACCAGGTCCATAAGCTCGTTTTGAATCCAATATCCGAGTAAATGGTCGTGAGCCTCGGCGTTTTAATTCGTCGAAGAAGTTCTGGCATGGCTAGGTCGATTTTGTCAAGCATCTCAACCAAGGCTAAAAATTGGCCGTTGTTCGACGCATAAAGTTTCTCTGTTCTACCACGAAATTCGCAGTATCAAAACTGAACGATATTTCGAAACCAAAAATGTCGTGTTAAGAGCTGAATAGTTAATTGGTAACATATAAATGCCCAGTAATATTGAGCAACAAGTTGTAGTTTATGAGAACTGGTCTGGATTTCGAATCTGACGGTGACAAGGGGTTAAAGGGGATCTCCTATCGCGGGGCCCCCCTCTTGCACTGATCTAGAGTGATGATCTGGTCCAGGTCAGGCGTAGTGTATGAATGGGATATGTTTATATTCTTATGTTTTGTATTGGTACAGATTAGAGGGTAATGTCTAAGTCTATTGATTACTTATGTGTGAGCTGGCGCTCCTAGATCTAATTTTTGACCTAATTTTATTTAATTTATATTATTTACATAGGCCAGGGCTATGATGTTTGTAATTTAGTATCCTTTTTAATTTTTATAGTTCAGTGCTGAGTATGTTGTAGTTTCCGCTATTTTTAACTTTCTGCTAGTTTTAGTCTTTTTCTGTTATTTGTGTTTTACTCGTAGAGGAAAAGTAGTTTTTAAAATAGTTAACTAGCCTTAGAGCTGTGGATGTTATTTCCTATTTTTTTGTCCCAGGTTAGTTCTGCTTATTTTTGTCTTTGGCATTAGCGTTGGATTGGTTGTTATTTTGTAATATCAGTTTATGTGTAGGTCTGTAAACGGTATAGAGCCCCCATATGAGTTTAGAATAGAAATAACTTTTTATCTTCCTTTTTGTATTTTTGTAGATTTAAATTTTAAGATTCTCTTTTTAATGCTGTTTAATTTGGTATATAATGTTGTGTAGTCCGTGTCTTTAGTAACTTGCTAGATTTTATTGTTGTGTACGCTAGGTACAAATTAGGGAAATAGGTAGTCCAGTTTAGTTATAGATAATTAGCCTGACGTCATGCTCTCTAATATGTTCGCGCTGACCAGTTATAGCTAGCTCCGGAACCACGTTGAGCTCTCTTTTGTCTTGACCAGTGGTCAATGCTGACAGTGGTGCCTGTATAAAGTTATTTTTGTGTAGTGTAATTTCAGCTGGGACAGCCTGTAAGTTGGAAAATGTTTTTATTTTTACTTTCTTTCGTTCGTATTTGTAGCAATTGTTTCTGAATCTATTGCTATAGTCTAGATGCAGACTGATTAGTGTAGTGGCATTACTGGCTAGTTAATTAGCCATGATTACCTCTGATGGAACCGGAAGTTCTGTGGACCTGGGTAGCGTCACCCAGTTGCGTCAGCCTTAATGCTTTTGCTTTCCTATACTATGTCTATGTGTAAATATTCTATTATTTTATGTTTCCTATGTATTTTTATGAATATTTTATCGTTAGGATAACCACTCTATTTAAGTTGGCATTTTGTTCTACTTTTTAATGTAAAAGATGACTGCGGCCTAAGCATCGCTGTCATGGCGGCTTGTTTAGTCTTATCTACTATTATCTAGATCTAGCTTATGTTTATTGTAGTCTAGCCTGACTTGTGTTGGTTGTGGCTGGGACTTTAATAACTCAGGTATTGCTTTTATTAGCTACATGTAAGTAATTGGAATTACCTCATGCTTGTATTATGTGTATGCAATAACTAGGTCTAGACCAGTCCAGTCTAATATATGTGTTATAGTCCATTATTATTTTATTTTTTGAATATTGTCTTATGTTTGTTTATTTTGTACTTGCAGGCTATAATTCCTGCCTTACGGCCTAACTGTCTGCCGCAGTTATGCTTTACTGCTGCTAGTAGTTTACTGTTTAGTGTTGGGGTAATTTTGGTTATTTGAGGGTTGATTAATTATTTAGTAGTGCGTATATATAGTTTTTGTTTATTTCTAAGTTTATTTTCATTGTATTCACCTATATTTTTATTGCTTTGCACGTTGGTTGTAAATAAAGTGTATATAAGTTTGTTTTATAATTGTAGTTGGTTATTTTATCTTTAGTTAGCTAGTTTAGTTTAGTTTGATTGTGCTGTCTGGTTGCTTAGGCGACTCTAGCCCCTTGGTCGCAGACCGAGGTGC